GCAATATAAAATATTCTTATTCTCAAACTTAAAGGGAAAGTTGAGTTCTGGGGAGAGATGAAAAATAATTTCTTTGCGTTATCATTATCTTATTCTCATACTTAGATGTACTTTGTAAACTTATTTTGTTTCGTAGATACTTATCAGTATTCGTTACTTGTATAATTCATTTGTTATATCATATGTTGTAAAACTGTATGGTTTATATATTAGTACGTTATTTCAATTTTTGATAATTGAATGGAAAATAAACAAATCAAATCAAATCAATTACATTTAGTGGGGCGTAGACTTCAAAATTCTTTCTAAGAATATCAGTCACCCACAATCTTGACCATTTGGTCTATGGGGGAAATTTGTATAAATTCAACTAGAAATTTAATTCCAATATAGATGCTGTTGCAATTCGAAGGAGAATTACAATATAGGTGTTGCATATAGGACAATCTTATAGTGCAGGTTTTGTGATTCCACACTGGAAAAATTGGAATCGGTGTAAATCTGTAAACACCAACGAGAAATTTTTATTAATTAGAACGTATGTAGCTGTACGGTAACTGTGGTCTTTAGGATTTATGTAGCTGTACTGTAACTGGTATTTAGGATTTATGTAGCTGTACTGTAACTCTGGTATTTAGGATTTATGTAGCTGTACTGTAACTGGTATTTAGGATTTATGTAGCTGTACTGTAACTGTGGTATTTAGGATTTATGTAGCTGTACTGTAACTGTGGTATTTAGGATTAATGTAGCTGTACTGTAACTGTGGTATTTTGGATGTATGTAGCTGTACTGTAACTCTGGTATTTAGGATTTATGTAGCTGTACTGTAACTCTGGTATTTAGGATTTATGTAGCTGTACTGTAACTCTGGTATTTAGGATTTATGTAGCTGTACTGTAACTGTGGTATTTAGGATTAATGTAGCTGTACTGTAACTGTGGTATTTAGGATTTATGTAGCTGTACTGTAACTTTGGTCTTAAGGACTTATGTAGCTGTACTGTAACTTTGGTCTTTAGGACTTATGTAGCTGTACTGTAACTGGAACAGAAGGACGTGACAAAACCTCGATCCAGGTCTATCCAGCGACAGGGTCTGACGTCAGACAGACAGGTCGTCGTCAGGATACTCCAGGACCCTGTTTCATGAAACCTGATGTCAGAAACAAGTAACTGTAATTGTTGTAAGCTACTGAAATCCTTGCATTTGATTGGCTGTGGGCAGATTCGTCACCGATCTGTGGCAGTTGTTATTAATGACTATAGTTTTATGAAACAGGGTCCTGAAGCAGGGGTTACCCAAACTGAAGACAAAGCTAAGGATCTACATTAATCAGTGAGCTTTATTAATCTTCTGTTTAAGTCTCATATGTTTGTAATTTATTTATGTATTCTGTTGTAACCGTTGTTTAGAATAGTATGCATTAATAAAGGTTTATTCAACCTAATTAATTGTGTTAATTATTCTTCTGTTCGCAAGGTTTAAATACCAAAGTCTTAGTGGCAGTACCAAAAATAGCAACATATCCCAGCCGCAAGGTGTTGCTCGATTCCCACCTTGTAACAACAATTGTGTGATGTGAAGGCCAGTTGATATCTATCTTATAAATGCAGTAGGCCGGTCAAATCGAAATTCCCCAGCAGAAAATCAGTTCCTGCTCGCCAATTTCCAAAAGGAAACGATTTTTGTTTATTGGACAAGAAAGAGAGATGTTTCATTCTGAGAAAATGTTTGAAAAATGTGCCTAATAATGTTAAGTCTTGAGACCAGTTTGATTATTATATACCTTTGAAGTAACTACCTATTTTTAACGGAAGTTTTTCCTTTTTATTGTGGGGTAGGGGTAGAAATTTGCGTGTGTGTGTGAGTGTTTGTGTGTGGTGGTGTGTGGGTGTGTGTGTGGTGTGTGCGTGTGCGCGTGCGTGTGTATTTGGGTTTTTACAGACGCGTATCATTCAGATATGATTATTTGAGTCTGGGAACCGTCAAAGTGAAAATTGGTCACCTCTTTCACTCTATGAGGGGCTCTCACCAGTGATGAAAAAAGGCACTTATTAGCACGGAAAGGGGGCACTTATTTGAACGGAAAAGAGGCACTTATTACAAAGGGAAAAGGTAAATCATCAGAACGAAAATGGCACTAATTCAAAAGGATAAGGGGCACTTGTCGAAATAAAAGGGGGACTTATTACAGAGTCAAAGAGGGCTCCTCTCATTTTAAATAAGGGCACTCATCGGAGATGAAAAAGGGGCACTGATAAGGATGAATAGAAGGCATACAAAGGAAAAGAGGCAGTTGTAAAAATATAAGGGACACCTCTCAAATTTGAAAAGGGACGATTATAAGAGGTGAAAGGGTGCTCATCAGAGATAGTAAGGGGCACTTCTTGTTCCTGGAAAGAAGTACTCACATGAGATGAATAGGGGACCTCGTGAGAATGGAAAGGGGCACTTATTACAAAAGAAAATGGGCACTTGTCGACGGAAAAGGAGAACCTATACAGTATGATATTTTAATATAGGCATCTTTCAAAGGTGTCAGAGGGGGAGGTGTCTCTTATTAAAAAAAGAAAAGGGAAATTTATCAAAAGGGGAAAATGGCACTTATTAGAAAGAAAAGGGGGAAGTTATCGGAGGTGAAAAGTAGCACTCATCAAAGATGGAAAGGGGCACTTATCCACAAAGGAAGGGAAACTTATTTTAAAAGAAAAGGCACTTGTCGAAGTAAAATGGGCCCTCTTAGATTTGAATAGGGGCAATAGAAATACGTGAAAGGGCACTTATCAGAGGGAGAAAGAGACAATGATAGGAATGTGGAAAGGGCACCTGTTAGAAGTAAAAGGGACATTTATCTGAATTAATAGGGGCACCTTTCCTATGTAGAAAATGGACACTTTAGGGGTACTCGAAAAATGGGGGGGGGGGGGGGGCTCTTTCCCATACCCCTTCCCGGCTCCGCTATCTCTGCCCCAAACATAATGGTCGCCAAGACTATTTAAATGCCCTCATGTAATGCCAAGCTCTTTAGCCAAGTATTAATGAATCAGTCAAGAGACCTTACCAATTTCTTCTTATATTTAAAGGAAGATTTAAAGAAAATAAAAGAAGTGTCATATTCCCTTAACAAAACAAAAATATGTTTACAATTTGTATACCAAACAAATCTCAGAGATAACAAAGGATAACAAAAAGATAACAACCATGAGGAATTGCAGTGTTGCAGAGCGGGATGAATACCATATCGAGTAAAAAAGTACAACCATATTGTTTGTTATCAAATACCAAACTGCCAGTATAACAGAGGATATACCAGTAACGGTGTCGCGAGTTACGTCACTATAATGACAGATAAGAAATTGCTGACACCGGATAACAGTCAGGCCGGCAAGAGGTATTGAATGTATATATATTTTGTTCAAGTCAATATATTTACATGTTACAAAAATTATGTTTGTCATTATTTTGAGGGATCCACATTTAACAAGTTTTGCTTTTCAGTGGATCCCTCCATTTTCACAAAAAAGCCTATTATAATACTGGATATTCATGTATACTTTGTATTTCACAACTTTAAACCATGTAAAATATATTATATTATTTAATGTTGAATTGTATATCTGATTTCTTGTCAAAATTACTGTTCTGTTGGAAATGAAAAATAAAAACTGAACTGAACTGAAACTGAATTATAAGGGGGAGGGATCTTTTTAAGGACTCAATTAAGTGGCACTTTCATGATTCTATTGCGAAGCGGGTGGGGAAGGGGGGGGGGGGAACAGTTTAGAAAATTTCATATCTCTGTTAAGTAAGCAAGCATTAACAAAGAAAAAGGTTTTCACATTTGTTTAGGTTCTGGTCGCTATTTAGCCGGGGTGACTCACTAACACACTTTTTGCGCATTTGTATAGATGTTCTTTTAATAATAATAATAATCCGTTTTTGTATATAGCGCTCAATACACCGATCCAACGATGTGCCTAAGCGCTTTACAGATATATTATTACCCTGGTCATCGGATTCAGGCTTACCCGCGCACAATGTGTGCACATTTTCCACTCCCTGGGGAGCATTCCAGCCAGTCGCCATTTTACAGACGCACACTTGCTCGTCCAACCACATGAACGTTCGCATCCTAACGGGTACCCATTTGACACCTGGGTGGAGAGTAGCAAGTGCAGGTAAATATCTTGCCAAAGGATATTAGTGCCGTGTCGGGATTCGAACCATCGACCTTCGCATCTACAGTCAAGCGCCTTAAACCACTCGACCACGACACTAGGTAGTCTAACTTGGGTTCTGCGGGTGGGGGGGGGGGGGACACGTTTCCTCCTGAATCTGCTACTGTGAATTATTTACTCCATCACTATTGAAGAAAAATCTCTTATGTAATCAGATAAGTCAAACAAAAACATATCTTCTTAACATTACGGTATAAAAACGTGAGATAATCAACAAGACAAACATTTACAAACATTTATACAAGATCGACCTATATTATATTAGTAAGCCTACTGTGTAAATAGAATGATAATTGATACATAAGTAAAGAGCTGTGGCAGACCTTTGTAAAAATATGATTTCTGTAAATGTATTTCCATTTTCTATTGCCATCGGCGGGTTCGATGGGCATGGGGCATAGGAAAACACTGGAGGCAAATAAAATATTTCGCTCATCTCTTTTGATCATATTTCGTATTGAAAATGTCGAAGACATTTTTTCCTACGTTTCTTAAAGGTACATTAAGATGCTTCTTACTTTCTATAACATGTAAGATTTCTGAAAATAAATGACTAAGATTTGTTATGGTAAGGACTGACCGACCAGCATGACCGTATTGGTCAAGGCAAGATCACCTTACCTGTGACCATACGGTCCTGCATGTTACCTGTGATCATACGGTCATGCGTGCCCCACATCCTGTCGTATGGCTACGCCTGAGTTCACACCGAGAAAATGCATAAAAGGGGGTCCAGTCAGGGAGACCAATCATTCTCCAGCCTGGACATCGACAAGAGCAACAGAACCAACAGGGTCATTCCCTGCACCACACTCTAGGGATCTGAACCACCGTCTTCAACACTCTTCATCTGACCGTTCCTGTATTGGTAAGTGATACCTGTCAATGGAGGTGCTGTGGTTCATTCACGTGACACTCAATCCAAGGGTTGAGGGTTCGAATCAAGTGGCAAGTGTAAAAATAAGAATTCAATCGGTTGGGTTATAAAAGAGCGCCCTCTACATCATGGGGGTTTCAGGCGTCAGATCAATGTTCTTTTAACTTAGCCTCTTTGATGTGTTGATGATACTGATATATGTTTCATTGGCCCATCTTAATTTTGTTCTGATATTTTACATTATATTCAGCCTTTCAAACATGTTTACAATTTGTTGAGTATTTTGATATAGTCGTGAGAATAATTATTGTTAATCATATTGGCTTAGATTGTATTAAAACATTTCTGGTAATGTGTAAAGAAAATTATTTATGATGCACGCGTAATAAAGGAAAGTTTTCATTAGTCTTTTTCAACAAGAGTACTAAGAATTATTTTCAAACCGCCGCTATCAAAATAATCATGAAATGGGTGTATTAAAATGTCGAGACATATACTTCAAAATGACAAATAGACTACCTCGCAGCCTAATGTAAGGCGATAATTGTTCGGATATTTATAATCGTGAACTTCTTGGATGGTGGCTCCAGCCGCTCCCTGCCTTATCCGTCTATGCCAAGTACTTAATCAAGCTTTCCGTTAAATTAAAATTTGAATAAAGTTTCTTACAAAAATTGTTTATCAGGGTATGAATCTAAGATCTAAGATATTGTGCTGAATAAGCGTTTTTTTTTTTTTTTTTAAATTTCTATTTTAACACTTTTTCACAGATCATCTTTGAAAATGAAAGGCACGATACTCGTAACCCTGGTGGTCCTAATTGGCTTGGTGACCCCTCACGTGAATGCGAACAACTTGGAAGATCTCTTCGACGAAGAAGGGGACTTCCAAATGTGTAAGTTCTAAAGACAAGATTGAATAAAGAGAGAGAGAGAGAGAGAGAGAGAGAGAGAGAGAGAGAGAGAGAGAGAAAAAAGATTGAATAAGAGAGAGAAAGAGAGAGAGAGAAGAAAAAAGGGGGATGTAAAATTGAAAGGGATAGAGAAATAAAGCGAAAGAGGGAAAGAGAGAGAGAGAGAGAGAGAGAGAGAGAGAGATGGGGGGGGGGATTAGAAGGGTAGGTGATGGAGAAGGCAATAATTTTTACAAAACACTGGCATAATAGAATAAAACTCGCTCCAAATAATGTTGACACCTTTTAAGTTTAAAACATGCAATTTCCATTCAATAATTACATGTTCATTTATAGTATGTCATATTTAGAATGTTGTATTTTTATGTTATTTTAGTTCAAGATTACACGCAATCATTGCATTTATTTTCCCCTATTACGTAACATAATTCTAGTTCTGGATGAGGAGGCCATAGGTGACGTCCTGGCTGCTAGCTGGTTCTCTAAAGCGATCCACGATGCCGGTTCTTGGACTAAGAAGGCGGTCAAAGATGCCGGGGATTGGACCAAGAAAGCCGCCAGTGATGTTGCGGATACTGTCAAGAAGGGATGCGGTGTGGTCAACTCGCTGCCTGGAAAGGAGCTGGAGCTGAGTAAGTATATTGAGTGAGTGAGTGAGTGAGTGGGTGGGTGGGTGATTAGTCGAATTAATGAATAATTGATTGATTGGTTGATTGATTTAATTCATCGAGTTGTGTGTGTGTGTGTGTGTGAGAGAGAGAGAGAGAGAGAGAGAGAGAGAGACAGAGAGGGGGGTATCGAGATTATAACAAAGAAAGAGAAAAGAAAAACATTTTTTTGACAAAAAGTGAAAGGTCTTTAGATTTTTATTTGCTCTTTTGGGATTCAAATTTCCTGCATGGGGGGGGGGGGGGACTCAAAGACAGGTGTCATTGTTTGTAAAAGCTTAATGTAGACGAAGGGGGGGGGGGGCGTACCACCGTGGCTCCCTTCAATCCACCGCCGTACTGCTGTTTTTATTAATACTTTTTCTCTTGATTTCACGACAGTGAAGCGTAGGGATGAGGTCCTCCGCAAACGTGGGATCAGTGAAGACCAGATTGCCGCTGTGTACGGGGGCTACAAGAACCTAAAGAATGCTTGCAGTATGTTGGGTTAAATACCAGTAAGTATATCCCCATTCTTTTCCATAAAGTCTAATGATTAGTAGAATTATGGCCGTAGGACACGAAGCGTCTATTTGCTGACACAAGAGTACGTCAGTGCCTGATGCGGCGGTCTTTGACGCACACCATGTTGGAATGTAATCGTACAAAAAGTAAATGTAAATAAACAGTGTAAAAAATGATTATCTTACTTGTATTGGGCTAATTTGCCTTTACTTACTTGATAACGGAGTCAATATGACGCTTTATTTGTCATAGTGCCTTTTTAGTCTATATTCATTATTTGACTTTTTATGTGGTAATGTTGGATGTAATTCTTTTTCTTTCATGTGGCTGTCACTCATGTCAGATTATGAAGACAATTAATATCGATAATAATTATATATATATTTTTTGTTGCAGAATTTACATCAAAGAGGACAAGGACGATTAAAGGCAACACAGGAGTCACTGGAGGAGCTCGCGCCTTTGAATGTATTTTGAAACAGATATATGGCGCCATACAAATGCTGTGAATCATCATCATCATCATCATCATCATCATCATCATCATCATCATCATCATCAATATTTTCCTTTATAGGAATGCAGCTTGAAGAAATTATGAAGACGAAGATGTTCCCGTAAAAATTACATATAATGTCATATTAAAAAATAATAAGGAATATTTCTTGTTTACATTCCATGACAAACTGGTATATTTATGAGTTTGCTGATCGTTCGTCTGAGTAAATTATAATAAATTGAAGTAGAAAACAAAATAATTGCATTTCTGTTGTATCTTCTGTGTTATAAGATTATCATGATAACGTGATTAATGATTAAACCATCAAAGATGGAGGGAGAGAGACAGAGAGAGCACAAAGACGGTAAGATGGAGAGTGGGAGAGAAGGCAAAGCGAGAGCGAGAGAGGAAGAGAGGGAGAGGGGGTGGAGAGAGGGAGAGAGAGAGAGAGAGAGAGGGGGGGGGGGAGAGAAGAGCACAAAGACGGTAAGATGGAGAGTGGGAGAGAAGGCAAAGCGAGAGTGAGAGAGGAAGAGAGGGAGAGGGGGTGGAGAGAGGGAGAGAGAGAGAGAGAGAGGGGGGGGGGGGGGAGAGAAGAGCACAAAGACGGTAAGATGGAGAGTGGGAGAGAAGGCAAAGCGAGAGCGAGAGAGGAAGAGAGGGAGAGGGGGTGGAGAGAGGGAGAGAGAGAGAGAGAGAGAGGGGGGGGGGGGGGGAGAGAAGAGCACAAAGACGGTAAGATGGAGAGTGGGAGAGAAGGCAAAGCGAGAGCGAGAGAGGAAGAGAGGGAGAGGGGGTGGAGAGAGAGAGAGAGAGAGAGAGAGAGGGGGGGGGGGGGGGGAGAGAAGAGCACAAAGACGGTAAGATGGAGAGTGGGAGAGAAGGCAAAGCGAGAGTGAGAGAGGAAGAGAGGGAGAGGGGTGGAGAGAGAGAAGAGCACAAAGACGGTAAGATGGAGAGTGGGAGAGAAGGCAAAAGCGAGAGTGAGAGAGGAAGAGAGGGAGAGGGGGTGGAGAGAGAGAGAGAGAGAGAGAGAGAGAGAGAGAGAGAGAGAGGAGCACAAAGACGGTAAGATGGAGAGTGGGAGAGAAGGCAAAGCGAGAGCGAGAGAGGAAGAGAGGGAGACGGGGTGGAGAGAGAGAGAGGGAGAGAGAGAGAGAGATAGGGAAGGGGTGCATTTAACATTCATTCTCATCATACATTTTCACTTCAAATTTAGCCATTATCCCTCTCTTCACCTTTTCTACACGGATTAGAAAAAGAATAAAACACATTCCAAGTCATTTATTATAATTATCGTCATAGCCATTATATTCATATATATTTATTCAATTTTTATGTACAAAGCAAGAGGTTTCTTTGTTCCGATTCAAGTCGGAAGTTGAGGTGAACTGGGCCCAGTTTCATAAAACATGTTACCATAAAACTGTAATAAGCAACTAAAATTCTTGCATTTGATTGGCTAGGAAACGATTTGTCATAGATATGGGGTAGTTGTTATCAATAACAAGTTTAATGAAACAGGGCCCTGCTTTTAAGCACTTCCATCATTTCGGAATGTAAAGCAATGATACCGTTGAAAGAAATGAATAGAACAAAAAAAATAAAGAAATAAACCAATAACTCCTGTATGATCATGCTCATCTCTAAGAAAGACAAGAAATGTCTTCGCAAACAGGTGATACGGTAAATAAATAAATGAATAGTTAAATTTTAAAAAGTAACAATAAATAAACAAGTTAATAAACATTTATGAACAACAATAATCAATGAATGAATAAATTATTAAATGAATAATGATCATGAATAAATTAATAAAATAATAAATAAATAAATGAAGTAATACAAACAATAGAAAATAAAAGACACATTTTCATTCAATCCATGTCCCATGTTTCTTGCAGAGTATTGCACCTTGAATGTTTTTTTTTTAAAGTATCTTGCTCTTTATTAATCATAATTAAAAGAAAAAGATATTTGGTCACAACATAAACACCTTTTCACAAAGCAGAAGTTATGATATTACAAGGATATGCTCTGTCGTTTACTCTGGTGATATTTTCAAGTAGACTTCTTTGGAGATGCAAAATTTAAATTCGAAATGGTCTCGAAAGATTCTATTTCGATGATTTTCAAGGTAAAGACCAGTTTTGGAAACGCCCCTCTCTCAAAAAATGAAATGGAAGCTCCATAACCAATCATGTGAAAGAATATGTTTTGACTTATACGTGATGATACAAATTTTGCCGGGAAACCGCCTACTAATTGATATATTTGGTATATTATATCTATCCGGACTGGATAGATATAGGGTAGTCCCATATACATCTTTCTGTGTACAGTGCTTGTAACTTTACCAAGACTGGGCCAAATTTCTTATCATTTTGATGATTCCAGAACCTTGCAGTACACACCAATACTTGAATGCTAGTTGATCAACCTTTTCTGATCGATTCCACACCGTTTCAGAACTGGTCTTTACCTTTAACGGCATGGCTCCATCTTATTTGTCAGAGATTCATATGACTAGGAAAATTACAATCTGAGGTCAGTGGGAAACAGTCTACATGTCGAAAAGGCAGTCGAAAGCAAATATGCACAACACACAATATATGATATAAAGATTATACGAAAATTCAAGCTATATATATTTTGTTCCTTTAGTGATACTGTATATGCCTTTTTTTTTAAATTTGAATTTGAAATCGTCTCACATGATTAATTTTCAATCTTTTCATGACATAGCTCCATCTTAACTCTTAGAGATTACGTTGATAATTTTGAGAAAGAAAATTAACAACATTAAAACATCAACAACATCAATAACTATATTGTCATTACAAAGAGAGGAATGATGATTTTGGTATGTAAGGATAACCGGTATCACAAAGTACACAGTACAATACTACAATTTAAATGCAATACAAACCCAACTACATGTACATTATGAACACCATTACATTAAACGACAATCCAACCTTAAATTTGAAATTTTCATAATAGTAACAACAATAATCCGCTTTTATATAGCACTTAATACAATGTCTCTAAGCGCTTTACAGATATACTATTACCCCGGTCATTGGATTCAGTGCTTGCTCGCACACACTGTGTGCACAATCTCATAGAATTAGTGATCTTATATTCCAAATATTCATAGCTCAATTATTATTGGTCTGTTCTTTTTTCTTCAAACTTTCGAAATTCCTGTTGCTCTCATTTTTTTGCTTTTATACAAAATAATTTATGACAAGGTGGGATTGCCCTTTAAATATCTAAGTTCTAGGACAATTATCCACTGAATTCATTCACCCCTTGTCAACCAAATCAAGCTTAAGACAACTAACTTCTACCTTGCAAGTGAATTCAAACACTAAAAACTCTATGAATCATTCTGTCCAGTGCCCCCCGCCCTCTGTTTATCAAATTTTTGGATACGCCACTGATTTGCCGCTCAAAGGAAGCACCGATCATGACAATCTCTACCAATGTTTGTGCGATGCAGATAATCCCTGGAACACAATGAAAACACATATGATTTGGCTTGAAAGCAACCCCAAAACATCACATTTGGCCCTTTTAAAACTACATGTACATGTAGATTGCAGATTAAAATGGAATGACAAGAGAAAAAGAGCTTTACAATTTATTAACCCTTGCTGAACCAGTGTTGTCTGCCACATCTATGATTTGTTAACAGTAGTTTCACCCTTTGCAAGTTGGTAAAATTTTCTTCTATGACCTTTCAGGTGCATGAAACTTTCATGAATTTGACGAAGTGTCCAGAAACAAGAAATTTAAAAATTGGCACAAGTTTTTTGTATCTAATGCATTGAATGCCAGTAAAAAAATGTACATCGTACAAGTAAATCAACTCATACCAGTACAGAGTACATGTATAGATGTAGCATAATCATGTCCAAATTCAATGAAATTGCATTTCAGAGGCATCTAAAAGGATGGTTTCTATTAGCAATTACACAATGTATATAAAAATAATAACCATGGTCTGCAATTCACAAAAGTTTTATGTTGCCAAAGTTTCTGGTTTACAATATTCTAATACTATGCATGAAATTGTAGGCTGACCAAGAATGCTCTATTGATATTTAATTTTTTTGTAATTGATTGAACTTTTTCTGCAGAATCAATTTAGATCACTTGTTGAAATAATATTGTCTGCTTAGATCCAGAAGGAAATTAGTTAGTACTACCCTTCTGGTTTTCTATCAGACAATACCATCTATCAAATAAATGTCACACTGGCAGAGGAAAAAGCAAGAGTTAAATATCCCACAGCTGGTAATATTGTACAGATCACCCAACAATCATGAAACCTCGATATTTATCAGCATCTTTATCAAAGGTATTCATACAACGAAAGAGATCCTCCGCATTGACCCAGCAGTCTACCGTATTGAACCATGTATCCAGTAACAGGAACCGATCCGTTATTTCGTGATATGCAGCCAAGACACTAAAGTGTCCATGGACGAAATCATCCTGGCCTAGATCGTACTCGTCATAGTTGACGATCACTCCCTTCTGGGAACACGCGTGGGATAGCGCCTCCGACGCGAGAGTCCGGAATTCTTTGACGGTGCTGACGTTAACGTGGACCTTCTGGACTGTGAACGCATGCGCACACAGGAGGCCGTAGATCTCATCCATTGTAGCACCCTGAGTATCGCAGGATACAAAGTCGAGGGCGCCTTTCGTTTCCTCAAAGCTGAACATGTTCCCCTCCGTGTAGGGGGCTTCGTCAAGGGTGCACTTGGCCTGCTCCGAGGGGTCTGGGTACTTCTGTCCGAGGCATTTGGCGCTCATGATGAGGGCAGAGGAATGAATGCCACAGAACGTATTGTTTTCTTGTTCCTTGAAGAGGCGCAGGAGCAACGTCTGTTTGGCCGACGCCTCTCCCAACATCCTCTGGCCCTCGGGAGAAATGAGAGGGATCTTGTCTCGGACACGTTCAACAGCCATCTTTCCACTACCTGCTGGATCTGGAGGAGACAAGATAGAGGAAATTAAATCTTGGTCAGGTTTGCAAAGGAATGGATGAACACACCCCGCCCCCCCCCCCAATCAGTGTTATTTAGGGTAGGCGTATGCATGGGCCTTCCTTTGAAAGCACCCCCAATCTCTGGTGTGTAAAGTCAATACGGGCTGGACTTTGTTGCGTGAAAAGTACCCCTTTCCCAGAGATTTTGGGAACACGAATGTGGTCCCTCCGACTCAGGAGTGGGTGGGGGGGGGGGGGATGGGGAACACACTCGTATATGGAGTTACATTTTGTTTATAATCACTCAAGCTCATGCGGCAGACAGCTACACCAGGGGGGGGGGGGTGGGCTAGCTGCAATGGGTAACATGTGGATTTGCCACTAAAAAAACTCAAAACTCAGACAAGAAGAAAACATATGACATACAGTGTAAATACTTTCCTCTTCTCATGTATGACCTACCTGAACCAATATCGGCTTATACACACAGACCTGTAAATAACAAAACTGTGATAACGCCATTACGAACGTGTAGATGGCGCACAGTTTTTCCTTCATAATCATTTTGCCTTCGGCGTAGACTAGAAGGGATGAGATTGACGGCAGCGAGAGTTTAACACGGCTTGCAAGATTTTCAACATGGATGTCGATTTTGACCCATAATTTCCTTAAAAGGGACCATTAAACGGATTATTTCAATCAAGTTAGTAAGTGGAACCGATGTATTATAGCCTAGGCCTAATGTAAAATTGGATATGCACGAGGTAAAATGACATTTTGGGGGATTTTGGGGGCATAACAATACGGCCGTGGCAAGTTTGTTCATGTTTGTGGGAGGGGCCTAACGGCTAAAATCTAGCCGTGATATCTTCAACATAGGCTGGCATAGGCGATCGTTCTGTCTCTATAACCGGAGGTCTAGTGGAGCCAGACCTAGTCTCAGTGGGACAACCGACGGTATAGAGACTGAAGCTTTCGGTCTACTGTTTTTCTAGCTTTCTCTTCTACAATCTTTATGCCGGTCAAAGTCCCTGACAAAGCTATTGAAGGGAAGAGCCAAAAAGCTTTGAAAATATACCGAATTACAGATATTATACTCAACACTACTTTTATCTTGAACTAAGTGATGATAAATTACAATCAAGAGGAGGAAGAATAGAATCTAGAGTACAACTTAGATCTACAACAATACAAATACAAGGAATAACAAGAAAATTCAAGAAAAAGAAGAGGAAAAATGAAGATGAAAAAGACAAAACTAGATGAAGAAATAAGGAGGAAAGGGAAAGGAATTGAAAAAGGATATGAGGAAAACGAAGATCAGCAACGATTATAAAAAACACACAGATTAAGCAGCTGTTCAAGAGCGCAGCAGGCGAACAGTTCTATAAATTTCGACTCATGTCCAAACAGCACACACAATACAGCACGTGGGACCACACTCAAACACAGTGGAAATAAATTTAGCCTTTAAGGCTTTATACAGTCAATGTTCGAATCACTACCTGATTAATGTAAGATTTTGATTCCTCTGGATGGTATACTGCATATACTGTGTGGTAAACAGTAAAAGGCTTCCTCGGAAACTAGAAACAGGCCTGCAAGAAAATACAGCAATTGAAAAAATCAACTCGCTCACGAAGAAAAAAAATCACCACGCCCCCTTTCAAGCGTGCATAAATTATAATTATATACGGACGCTCCGTAGAGTTCATGTTGGTGCTTTCCCACTCGGTTCGAATGCATGTTTTGCAGGCCGGTGTACTGTACTGTTCATCCATTCACGATTGATTTCAGATTTCAGACTAAAGTGTTTAAAAAAAAAACAAAAAACAAAAAAAAAAAAAAAAAAACAGTAGTAATGGAAATGATAAATACAATAATAATAACAACAAAAAACCAAGGAACCAATTAACCCAATAAACAAATAAACAAAGGTAAACATCAAGAAACAAACAGATACATATTAAAAACAAAAATACAAAAAAAAGCTTATAAAATTAATCATCTTTCTTTCAGCTCTGTCTTTGTCTGTCTGTCTGTCTCTGTCTCTCCCTGTCTCTCTCTCTCTCCCTCTCTCACTCTCTTTTACGCCATTCGAGGAAGGGGAGGAGGGGTGATAGCACCCCTTCCCTACTTGTTTGTTCGTTCGTTTCATTGCTGTTATTTCTGCGTTCTACAAGGTTATACATTTTAAAATAAGTATTACATAAATAGCAAATCATGTTCATACGATAACCGAAATACAAAGCATACAAACACAGTGGCGGATCCAGGGGTGGGCCGAAACGGCCGCGGCCCCCCCCCCCCTATTGGCGAAGCAAAAAAAATTGAGAAGGAAAAAAGAGAAAGAAAAAAAAGAAGGAAAAAAAAGGGGGAAAAAAGGAGAAGATAAAAGAAAAGAGAACAAAAAAGTAAAGAAAAGAGAGAGAGTTCAAAAAAGAGGAAAGAAAAAGAAGAGAGGAGCCGGGGAGAAAGAAAGACAACGAAATGGCACTAAAAATTAGTGACAGTAACGACGAATAAGGGAAAGACAAGGGGAAGGGGGTGCGTGAAGGCGGATGCATTGAGGGGAGGGGGGGGGGAGGGGTGACTGGCCGTATTCTTATTTTTAGGTTATGCGAAACTGAGTCGAAATTATGCTTCTTTTCAAAACAATCTTAGCATGCTTGTTTATGTTAAGCCGGAGTGCATGAAAAGGTTAGTGTAGAAACACTTCTGAAAAGGCCGCGCCCGGCCCCTCCAAAGAACGGCAGAATGGTAATCTATAAATTATGGGGTCATTCTTGATGGCTTTGGAGTCGTTATTAAGGAGGGGGCCGGCCCTACTCAAATGGTAGTGACCGTAACGATGGATAAGGGAATAAGGAGGAAGGGATGCACATGCAGGCGCGTACGCAGGGGGGGGGGGGGGGGGGGGGGGGGGGGGGGGGGGGGGGGGGTCGAACCCCCCTCAAATTTTGTCAAGTTGTCAAGTTGGTCCTGATGTGTATAATGCGTAGACCAGGGGTTCTCAAACTTTTTCTTTGACGGTCCAGAAGCGATTCTATGAAAGCTGTAAGGTCCGAAATGACACTTGTATACTGAAGATAATGAGGCTTGTTTTTGGTCAATATCTGATCCAAGGAGAATTGTTACAGTTTAAAAAAACAGAACCGCCAGTGCTTCCACTCGTTTAAATAGAGTTTCCTGAAAAAGAACACCCAATATCCTGGAATTTGAAAGAATTTTCTTAAAACTTTCAAAATGCCTCTTACTTGGATTTCTTATTTGGATGAATCGCTATGAATAGAGACGTTATTTATATGGATAATAAAGATAAAGCTGTCCGGGTCTTTGAATATAATGCTTCAAAACAAATCGAACAAGCTGTTTATTTCTTTATTCATGGTTTGTTTCTACTGTTTATCTATTTTCATTGCCAACCATCGAAAACGAATTTAGTATGCATTTCACAGAGGAAGTTTGCATAGGAGAACTATGCTTTCTAATAGATCCGTACAATATGGCACAGCTTTAGGGGCCTGGGAGAGCCCCCACCGGGGGTTCCGGGGCGGAGCCCCAGGATGCTCTCGAGTTAATTTGACTTAAAAGAGCAAGTGTTTCTAAGATATAAAGAGAGATTATTTCTTCAATGAAATGAAAGGACTCTTGAAAATAAAATAGCCCTTTCATTTCATTTTAGAAATAAACTCTAATCCATCCTTTGATATTTAAACTGCACTACTCCTACTGTGTGCTTTTTCACACTCTCCCTGATCTATAAAGACTGCTTTCTTTATTTGATCATCAACAGAAGCGAAAGGCTAGGCCACGAACTTTTCGAAGCGTGACCAGATTCCAAGTATGCTTAAATGGGGGCATTAATTTATGTAGAAAAAAAAAACAGGATTAAGATCCCATGCAACGCTTCGAAATTTAAAAGAAGAATAAGAAAAATAAAGTTGAGATTCAACCTTTATGTCTAGACGTTGCATAATGCAATTCGTTTTGGTATTTTATTCCATCTCAGAGTGATTATAGAAGTTATTTTTTAAGGATAATAAAGATAAAGCTGTCCGGGTTTTTAAAGATAATGCGTCAAAACAAATCGAACAAGCTGTTTATTTCTTTATTCATGGTCTGTTTCTACTGTTTATCTATTTTCATTGCCAACCCTCGAAAACGAATTTAGTATGCATTTCACAGAGGAAGTTTGCATAGGAGAACTATATACACTGTCGCTCATAAAGGTGGAATATTTTAGTTTTACCCCAATTTATGGAATTATTTTAAAAATTATTTAAAAATAATAGATCTAGATAATAGTATACATTCTCAGGTTTTATTGAATAATAATTTGCCAATGTGTGTTTTGCGTGACTGCTAAAGCATGTGTATGCTACTATGCTTATTAACTAGGGGACCTACGCCCTCAAGTCATAAATGACAATAATGAGGATTAATGCCCCACAAAAGGGCACTAATATAGCATATCGACACGGTTTTGATCCTGGGACCTCACAGTTACGAGGCCATTGTTTTGTCACTGAACCATGACTGTACACAGCGCACAGTGGGCCAGGGAGGAACCAAAGTGCGCCAAAACTCATGTTTGGGGATTTATTTTTTATAAATCCAGAGGAAATGTTTGGATTTCCAGGGATTTGCGCTAAAATTTTATTACCAACATTTTCTCTGATGTCTAAGCTTTAAGTTGATACCAGATTTGGCTGCCCGATTCTGCCCGTTATTATGTTAGAGCCGTTTTCCTTGCAACATTGCCCCGAAAATGTGTTTATTTCGGTCCGCGGTGTCAGAATAAGTGTCACGCGCCCCCTCGCGCCGTGATTTATGACCACGAATCCTTCATGATTCAGCCGCGGACCCCCAAAACCCACATTTTTCGGGGCAATGTGGCAAGGGAAATCGGCTCTAACATAACAACGGGCAAGATCGGGCAGCCAAATTTGGTATCAACTTAAAGCTTAGACATCAGAGGAAATGGTGGTATTAAAATTTAAGCGGTACACTGCGGAGATCTAAACATTTCTTCTGGATTTATAAAAAACATGGATAATTAGTCCATTTTTCAGTGAATTACCCTATAATTTATCATGAAGATTGTGTTTCTATTAATTTTAACCCATTCATTCAACGAAATGAACTATCAGGAATATGTGAGAGCAATTTCATATCAATAACTTAAAAACTTCATGTTGAATTGAAAGATTTATAAAATAAGTCACTTTTGCACTAAAACTGTGAATATGTAGGATTTTGCTGTTTGAAGTAGTAAATTTATACCCTTATTGTGCATAACGGAATTAAATATTTCACTGAGGTATTCCTCTATGTATTACCTTTCAACTGGGCAAGAAAAAAATTGAAAAAAAAAAAATCACCCAAACTTAGTTTTGGCGCACTTTGGTTCCTCCCTGGCCCACTGTGCAGCGGGGGCTAGGGTAGGGGGCAGTTTCCATAAATAAAATAAAAAACAGAAAATGCAATAAATTTTCAATAATTTATTGCATTTTACCCCGGTCCCTAACATAAAAAAATCCTCTGGACGGCCATGCATTATGGCTCAAGGCATGGGCACACAGAAGATTTGTTATGTTGGGAACCGGGGTAAAATGCAATAAATTATTGAAAATTTATTGCATTTTCTGTTTTTTATTTTATTTATGGAAACTGCCCCCTACCCTAGCCCCCGCTGCGTACAGTCATGGTTCAGTGACAAAGCAATGGCCTTGTTAATGTGAGACCCCAGGATCAAAACCGTGTCGATGTGCTATATTAGTGCCCTTTTGTGGGGCATTAATCCCATTACTGTCATTTATGACTTAAGGGCATAGGTCCCCTAGTTGGTAAGCATAGTAGCATACACATGCTTTAGCAGTCACGCAAAACACACATTGGCAAATTATTATTCAATAAAATCTGAGAAAGTATACTATTATCTAGATCTACTATTTTTAAATTATTTTTTAAATAATTCCATAAATTGGGATAAAAAAAAATATTCCACCTTTATGAGCGACAGTGTATATATATATAAATATATATATTTATATATATATATATATATATAACCCTACATGGTACATTAAGTGGACATCATAAAAAATCCTAACCCTAACCCTAACCCTAAAACCTAACCCTAACCCTAACCCTAACCCTAACCCTAAACCTAACCCTAACCCTAATGTCTACTTAATGACTAATTTTTTCACTCCCAATGTCCTTCCAATGACGCCTTTAGTAAAATTACATATATAGAGAGATATATATATAACATATATATACATATATATATATATATATATATATATATACAAATTATTTATTGGGCTTATTTTGCTTTCTAATGGATCCGTACAATATGGCACAGCTTTAGGGGCCTCGAAGAGCCCCTACCAGGGGTTCCAGGGCGGAGCCCCAGGATGCTCTCGAGTTTATTTGACTTTCAAGAGAAAGTGTCTCTAAGATATAAAGAGAGGTTATTTCTTCAATGAAGTGAAAGGACTCATGAAAATAAAATAGCCCTTTCATTTCATTTTAGAAATAAACTCTAATCCATCCCTTGATATTTAAATTGCACTGCTCCTACTTTGTGCTTTGTTCACACTCTCGTTGATCTATAAAGGGTGCTTTCTCTATTTGATCATCAACAGAAGCAAAATGCTAGGCCACGA